CATTAAATGTTTTAAACTTTTACATTTCATACAAATATGAATTTTAAAAATAATCTCTCTCTCTCTCTCTCTCTCTCTCTCTCTCAACAAAATTGATCATCAGTTTTGGTTCTGTTTTCTATTTTATATTTTAATTTATTATATGTTGAGATATCCAGTACTTATCTCTCTCTCTCTCTCTCTCTCTCTCTCTCTCTTTCTTTCTTTCTTTCTCTCTCTCTCATTGTGTTGTAATAATAAATATTTGTTTAAGAATAGCATACAGTGTGTCAACAAATACTATGCCTTATCGGACAGTTTTGATAGAAAGTCAACTAAATTGAAAAAAACTCTGTTTTGATAAGAAATGAAATGTATTGACGAAGAAATATATTATTGCTGAATATGTTTGCGAATTGAGAGTTAATATAAAAAATGTTTGTCTCACACAAAACGAGACTTGAAATTATCAAACATTGGTTTGACATGAATTGAAATAGTGATCCATATGTAGGCATACAGTACTGGATATCTCAACATATAATAAATTAAAATATAAAATAGAAAACAGAACCAAAACTGATGATCAATTTTGTTGAGAGAAGAGAAATGGATGTCATTTATGTTTTTGTTTGAGCCTTACATTTGTCTCTATCTCTCTGTCATCGAAATCATAAAATAAAATCATTTGTGAGTTTTCGGTCCAATATATATGAAATATATTCTGTTTTGTGTTTGTAATCCCTTTGGAAGAAACAAAACACTAAAATAATAACATTTGAGCCAAAAGTGCATTTATTTTTTATGATATCATTTTTGGATAAATTCCTTCTTATATATTATATCTTATATACATTATGTCTAAAACTCTTTCTACTTCTTGACAGCACTTATTTGTACGTCTATTGAGTCTCCAAACCAAACAAAAGGCACTCCGAGAGAGTGCGAGAGAGAGAGAGAGAGAGAGAGAGAGAGAGAGAGAGAGAGACGATGAGAAATTCATAGATGATTGCGATATTATAACAAATATATTATCCGTTTGTGACAGGAGTGGTGTTGGCATTAAGTCCTCGTATCAGACAATAAAGAGTATTCAATGCGTGACATTATGTCAGAAGCGTTTTGGCGTTTATTTCTCGCAGCAAAAGCACTAACGAAATGTATTTCGATAACTATTTTATAGTTAATTCCTTATATAATGATAACAAAAGTCGTGAGAGAGAGAGAGAGAGAGAGAGTCTTTCAAAGAGGGAGTGAATAGAAGGACGAGAATTAAACAGTCGGACGAGACTTATGACGGAAATGAGTGATTGACTCTCGACTCGGGGCTACCATTTCTTTCATACCATATCCTGCATTGAAATGTATGGGACGGACATCTAAGTAATTATTGCGTTAAAAATGATAGCGAAAAAATGCCACTAAATTCAGTGGGAACTCAAAGATTAGTGACATAATTGACATCAAAAGTGATTAAAAATTTGCTTCAAATCTCTCTGTCTCCCAATGGACACCATTAAAATTATCACTTCGTAGACAATAATATAGTTATAATAATTATTAAATAATATTATTAAATATTAATCGTCAGCAAAGAGTTGCTAAAATGTAATAAACGGATAAAATTAATGTAGAAAATGGTTTTCATTTCCCAAAACTACTGATTCACTAATGAATACTAGCGTTAATAAAGTATCGTTTCAAATGTAGAGTTCATTGATTTTTATGGACTTCATTGAGAATTGAATGAGAAAAACAGGAATAATAATAACGATAAATACGTTAAAGTTGATTCACTAATGAATACTAGCGTTAATAAAGTATCGTTTCAAATGTAGAGTTCATTGATTTTTATGGACTTCATTGAGAATTGAATGAGAAAAACAGGAATAATAATAACGATAAATACGTTAAAGGCTTACGAATCAAAAATATCGTAAAATATAATTTAGTTTATTATTAAATATTGTTATTAAGACTTTTATTGGGTTAAGAAATTGAGTTACACTTAAAGACAAGTTCTGTCTTCTCGTGTATAATATGTTTTTTCTTATTTTGTGCTCTTTTATAATAAATTACAAATTATATACAAATATGCTGTATATGTGTAATAGAAATTTAAAAACAATTTTAGTTTTTATATTATGATATCCAACATAAGGATATATAAAGTAAACTATATTGTGTTTTTGTGTTACAAATGTAACAGTAATACAACAATACTTGTAATCATCTGAATGTAACGATGAATGCATTCCGCCTTTTCTTTAAGGGCTTTCAGATTACATATAATTTAATGCCATAAAAATTGTTTCAGAGAATGTTTTGCCCGAAATAATTGTAAATTTGATTTTTTTGTCCACAAAGAGAGAGAGAGAGAGAGAGAGAGAGAGAGAGAGAGAGAGCACTCCTATGATATTAGAATTGGTAAACAGTTGACCACAAATTCAAATGTATTTATATTTTTATAAAACAACTTAAGAAATGTGCGAAACAGAGTGTAATATCACTAAAAAAGGACAAATGGGTCACTAAATCACTAAATCTCTCGCTTAAACAGTTTAGAGGAATGCGATTGTAATCTAATTCTCTCTCAATTTAATGAAACCAAACGCTTATTTTCATTCAATACATGTATTTCTTTAATTTAATTGCAAGTCTCGTCGATATTTAGTCTTCAATTTAATTAAAGATTTGTTATTTTCATTTCAATACATGATATATATTTATACAATTCGTATTTTATCCACTTAATTAAAATATCTTCATATTAATGCGATACATTGCAAAACAATTACAATACATACATGTAATGTATAATAATGTATATTATTTAAATTTGTAATTATATAATACTCTCGTTTCACACAAAAACCGACTCCTTTTATAACAATTGATACACCGATGAATATAATTGCATTCATTGTATTCATATTCAAAATAATATTAAACAGTATTTTTGATTGTATTTCTTTATACTTTACATTTAAACCATTATTATATTATATTTTCATAAAATTAATTGTTTCTTTGAATAATTAGGAATAATTTGTTTAATAATATAATAGTAATTATAATAATTACATACATTGAGACTGTTTTTATGAAACGAAACTATTTTGATAAAAACAGTGAAAACAAACACAAAAAAAATGATTTATTCCTTAAATATAGAAATTTTTCTCTCATAAGTCAGAGTCAATCAGGCGTTAAGATCTTTAAGGGAGAAATTCACGAAATCCCTAACTTTTTCCGTTTTTTTGTAAAATATATATTCTCTGAATAACTGTTAGAATAATAGAGAATTTTTCGTGTCGTAAAACCAACACAAAAATCTTTATAATTTAAAGTTAATGCAAAAATATTGATCTTTAAATACAGTGTAGATAACGGTTTCGAAGAGAGAGAGAGAGAGAGAGAGAGAGAGAGAGAGAGAGAGAGAGAG